CAGGCCATCGCAGAGGTGCGGACCGACTGATTGCGGACGCCGGCTGGATGGACGGCGCCACCTACGCGCATCGACGGATTGACCCGCAGCAAGAGACAGCCGGGGGTCCAGGGGCCCAGTAAAGGAGGCTGAGGTGCGGTCTTAGCGTCTGGTGCATTCGGGGTGAGGAGCGTGGTACAAGGCCCGGGACTTGCCTTTCCTGGGGCTTCTGGTGTCTACTGGGCCCCCAATAAAGGCGTCCACTTTCGTTGCCCCCTCTCCCAGACCACCTGGGTGTGAGGTAGCACCAAGTTTCCATTATAGAGTTGGACAATTAAGGGTGGTCAGATCCCAGGAAAGGTTGGTGGCAAACTTTTACCATGTGGAACTTGCGGCACTGATGCAGCACCCCCCTTTCACACCCCTCTCCCCTTGCATTGCTTTTCCTAGGTCCCTTAGGGCTGTAAGAAGTCTTGCCTTGAGGCTTCTGCTTTCTGGCACCGCCCAGCTCCGTACCTTTGGGTGGGCAGAATAATGGGATCAGTCCTAGGATGGGGTTGGGACTGGCAGAGGGCAGTGTTACTGAGTTCGCTCCTCTAGGCCCCTGTTTCCCATCTAGGGAGTTGGAATCCCAGAGAGGTGAGAATTTGTTCTCATCAAACTTAGGCCCTTCTGCTTCTAGGAGACAGAACTTTTTTCATGCCCTCTTGCAGTTTTGCTAAGACTAAGGCCTGACTTAGGTAACCAGGACTGGTGTTTAGCACCTGCTCACCTATAGGCCCTGTCATCTTAGAACCTAGCGGCTCCCCTCCCAACCTGTCTATAAGATGACTCTGCCTGGGATGGAGCCACGTGACACCCTTTAACCGGCCCCAAGAGGGCGGGTGTAGCTTGGGTTTCCAGAAAGGGAGGTCTTAAAGGGCCAGACCTGAGGAGATCTGCTTTTCTCCCTATCCAAATGCCCTTCAGCCTTCCATTCCTCTGTCAGCACTATACCCTGAATGACCTGGCTGCTGCATTGCTGTTCACCAGCTGAGTTTGCAGTTGCAACCTTACTTGTCAGACTGTGACGTGGTTCTCATCACCTTCCAGAAGGGCTGTGGTGAGGTTAACATATGGCAGAAGTCTTTTTCTTCCCCCCAAAGTAATGCAAACATTTTATTATTTTAAATCACATGTAGAAACAGGCACTGCTTTTTGCTGATGGAGCCAGGAGCTAATTTAAAGTTCTCATTATTTTACAGAGTGGAGAGGAGATTTCTCAAGGTCATCTGTCAGCTCACTGTCCAGAACTAGGTCCCACTTGTGTGCCCTTCCTACAAGTGTCCTGGGCAGAAGATAGGGAGAGCTGTCCCCTGCCTCCCTCTCTGAGCCTGTTTCCTCAGTCCCTCATGTCAGGACTTGGGAATGAGTTGAAGGGGGGAGGATGCTAATGTCAGAATCATGAGAATCTGGTTTAATCCTGAGTCTTTAGGGTCAGATACACTTCTCTGACAGGCTGAGCCTGAGGCGTCACCTATGCGCATCGACCCTCCTCCCATCAACCCTTTCTCTCCCCAGGTACCAAACTTTTTGACTGGTTTCTCAGCTAATAACCAACTTTCTGAATTCTGCACTGGGTAAGGGAAGTCCAGGAGGAGGTCACAGTGTCTCTGAGAAAGCTTAGGGACCAGGGGAGCAGCGGAGGGTAGTGGTGTTCTGCATTCTCTAGCTCCCCAGACAGAGGACCTTCTAAAGCCAGTTGGGCCTTTTTGGGGTTTAGAGGCTCAGAGGGGACAGGCACCTGGAGGTGACACAGTGAGGGGGCTCAGGCCATGGCTCTTGGCTTAGCCAGGGCTGTTTGTTTTCTGAGTTGTATGAGAAGAGGGTACTTGGTCCAGATAAGCTTTTAGCGAATGATTTAAATTGCTCTGTGCCATGACTGTTTTGGCATATTCCAGGGTTTGTTGGTAATCAGCTTTGTCCTGATTTGGGGGTGGGGTGAGTGGGTAGAGAGTTACAGATGACACCGGCTGGCGAAGGTGGTGTATGTGTGGGGGGTAAATGGAATTTAGTTCAGGGGTCACAGGCGGCTCTATCCCCTCCCTTCACTTCCAGATGTCCCACTGCTCATCACCAAAAACCTTGGCCAGGGCACAGAGCACTCAGAGACTTGAACTCCAGCTCCTGGTCAGTGCCCTTTACCTTTAGCCAACTAACACCTGCCCAGCCCACCCAGGGCCCCTCTAGAAACTCTCCAGTCAGGCTCAATTTTCTCATCAATCAACAGTCTTTGATATTGACTCCGTCTAGGGGCTCAGGATGCAGAGCTGAATCAGAGGGTCTCTATTTTAGGGCTGTGTCTCCCAACCCTTCTCCAGGCAGTCTCCAGACCCACTGGGGGCTGGGAAGTTTGTGCTGTTGGAGGGCTATTTTTAGCCATTCTCTAATAATGCTAGCCCCTGGGAAGGAGACTGACCCTTCCTCTTTCCCTCCATGACTTTCAGAACACTTTATTGGTGGCCCCCAGTCCAGGGGACTGGACTGAGTACAGAGATATTGGGGCACCTGTGCATTGAGGACATTGATAGGCATCAGTGAATCTGGGATCTCAGCAGAGGTAAACGAGGGGAACAGAAGCCTTTCTTCAAGCTGTTGCCTGAGGCTGGGAGACCAGTTCAGAGTTCCAGTCTGGGACCTGCCCCTTACCTGAGTAATCATCTGGGCAGGCCACTGGAAAGCAGTGTGGGGCATTTTTTGAGACATGGGGGAGTGGCCTGGAGCAGGTTTGGTTCTTCTTGTTCCCGCCTCAGTCATCCCCTTCCCAGTCATTCCAGGGCTTCCTAGGCCTTGGACTGTAGGGATCTGGAAGAACAAATGGGCTGTGGCAGTCAGCATGCCTGAGAGTGAGGTGTGGTTTCAGTGGTGGCTTCCTGGGTAGGGCAGGGCTGGAGGCATGAGCTGTGCATTTCACCTGCTCCCTAGGGGCAGGAGCCCACTTGGAAAGGGGAGTAAAGGAGGCACCTCTGCCTGGGCTGAGCCTGGAACTCCAGGGAAAAGATCCAACAGGAAAGACTTCCTGGAAGGAGAGGTTCCCCTTATTGGGGCCACTGTCAAAGTAAATAGTCAGAGTCACTGACAGATGTGTTTACTAATTGATCAGAACACCAGGTCCTGCCACCACAGGTGATCAAGGTGCCTCCTAGAGATTAGGCTGAAGTGACAGGACATGGTTAAGGTACTCCAAGCCTGCAGTGGGCAGTGTCTGAGAGGATTCCCTTTTCTGACCTATCAACTGGATTCCTTGAGGACGACTCAGGTGCCCAGACTTCTCAGAGCTGAAGGAGAGGCTCCCTGCTTTATAAGCAGCAGGGAGGAGGTATTGGGAAAGCTTGGAGATCCCCACCTATTTCCTCCCCCTTAGTCCTTGACCGCACCCTGCCCAGGAGTGATGAGTGAAGGGAACTCTTGGTTCTGGAATAACCACCACCTTTTCTATGCCAGGCTCTGTGCTAAGAACTTTACAGCTATTGTCTGTTTCAGTCTTCTCAACCACTCTGCAAAGTAAGGGTTATTATCCCCATTTCTACAGATGAGAAGACAGGGTCAGGGAGGGCAGGTATCTTGCCCAAAGACATAGAATATGTAAGTGGGGGATCCCATAAACATGCTGTGATGATTTACTCATCAGGCTAATGAGGAGAATTCTCCATTTGGGAGAATTGCTGGGCTCCCACCTTAAAGGCTGTGTATAGTGGCCCGTGGTTTTTGGTTCTTGGGAGGGATGTTTTGAGATGCTGGAGGGGTGGAAGAGGGTGCCCTTTCCCTCGAGGGTCTGGGCACAACCATCCTGGGCCCTGGAGGGTGAGTCAGGTTGAGTCAGCACACCTGGCTTCTGGCAAGAGTAGGCCAAGGATGCTGGGGCTGAAGCCTCCCAAGGGCTTGCCTTGAAGAGCTGTTTCCTCTCCCTGCAGATCTGGACTGGAATGTTTGGTGCCAAGGAGAGCAAAGAGTCTGGGATGGCAAAGGAGGAGGATGACATGCTTCATAGTGGGGGCAAAAGAGAAGCAGGTGGAACAAGACAGACCTGAGTTTCAGTCCTGGCCTGAAATTTTTTAGCTGAGGGACACTGGGCAATGCTGCCCTTTTCTGAGGCAGTTTCTTCTGATATTTTAAGTCTGTTTTTGTTTTGTATTTTTGAGGGGATATAGGAAGTAGATGACATCTGAGTATTAACTGAGAAGTTACACTAAGTGCCTAGTACATAGTAGAGATCTGTAAATGATAGAGTCAGTTTGCCTAGCCCAGAACAAAACCCCGGGCAGTGTGGATCTTTGCTTCTGTAGAGCATCTCCATATCAGGAATCCCTGGAATGGGCCCGAGGGAACTCCATAAGGAGACAAGTGAAGGAGGGGGGCAGGCTTTTCATCCCAGGAACATTCCATTCTAGCTGCTCAGACCAGTAGGGATCCCAGCCAAGGACAAAGGCCCAAGGGAATCTCTGCTTCCTCCAGAACCCCCACCACCTTCCAGAGCCAGGGCCAGTGCCAGTGGAGCCCCATTCCATAATATTGCCTCCTGCATCTTTTCTCCACCGTGGCCCCTCTTGAGGCAGCTGTGGAAGCATTTGGGTGGGGCTGGGTGGTTGTGGGAAAGAAGTAATTAAGCTCTTGAAATTATCCTTTCCAGCTCCTCCCAGCTCCTCAGAGCCTCCACTGTATGGATCTGGATTCTTGGATTCGGCTTCTTCCCTGGGCACCTTCTTCAGGAAGATTTTGAGAATTGACCCTCCCACTCTCAGCACCCTCCTTAGGGAATCCTTCACAATGGCAAGGGGCTGGGTTCTGGGGGAACTTGCTGATACTATGAATTTCTTTATATATGCCACATTACTTAGGCTTATACTGTATACTTTGAGATGTTATACAGGTCCCTGAGATGCGATCAGATTATTTAAGAGTGCAGCACGCATAGCCAATGGGAAAATGAAAAATATTTCTTTTAAAGATCTAGTTATAGTTCTTAAACAAGTCATGGTGCGGCTGGGGTCCACATTTTGGTAGATGCCATTGCTTCAAAGTGTAACAGCACTGGGAGGCCTGTTGGAGGGAAAACATTGGTCTGAGGAATCCCTCAGTTTCTCTCATCCACTGCCCTTGTTCTCCCCATGTAGGAGCATGTCTGTGGCCCCTCAAAAAAGACAATCAACTGCTAGCTCTTGGGGGAGACACCTTTTTCTCAGGAAGAGGTGGTGGCAACATAAAACTCCTAAGCAAAGTTTTAAATGAAAAAATGAAACACATTTATTCAAATATCCTGATAGTAGAAGGAAGGGGACATATTTGCATATAACCAGAACTCATAGAATTCCGAAAAGTGAATGTGTATTGAGTTAGTCCTCTGACTTATATATTCAGAAAGAATAAAGTTCAATAATGTGAGTCAAATGCGTGTGGTTTTGACGTTTACTTTGCAAGTGTCCTTGCCGCCTTTCCTTTGTCTCTGTCATGGCTCTTTAAATTGGCAGTTCCTTGAGCAGCTTCTGTTCAGGGTCATTTGGCCAGCTGAGCCTGTTGACTGATTTGTAGGCTGATTCTTCCTTGAGGTCCCTGGTTCCCAGCTGACCTCCCCCCACCCCTCAGGATGTCTTCCCTGTTAAAGGATGTGATGAGGAAGCATGGGGATGGAAATGCCTGTGTGAGACTGTGTGACACTGAGGGAGATTGTGCATGTTGGTGACAGTATGGCCTATGGGGGTTGTGAATAACTGGACTGGTGACCATGTGGACCTGTTTATCAGTCCAGGTCCCAGCAGGAGACAGGGCACACTCAAACTGGAAAGAGTTTTAAAAAAGGACTATTTCCAAAGTTGTGGGCTTTGCTTAAGAAACTGGTAAAAGATGTTGCAGCTCTCTGGGGCTAGCAACAGTGGGAAGTCTTTATGACTCCTGAGCCTGAAGAGATGAAGGGAGGCAGCTGTGTGGAGGGCCCCAGACAGGAACTTTGCCCTTCTGTTGAGGGATATGGTCAGCCATGGCAACCTGATGGGGAGGGAGCAAGGAGAATAAACACTTCCTTCTACTCTTTCCTTCAGTCTCCCACTGGGGCCTCTCATTGGCAACCCAACAGGAAGCTAGAGAACAAGGGAGCCATTGACACAAAGTCCATAGATATCAGCCCCCCAAGGCATTGAGCCAGAGATGTGTGGAGAATGGATCTGGAAGGGCCAGTATATCATGTAACTGCCTGGGGGTGTACCTTGTTTCCCAAAGTCCACAGCAACACTTCTTCCCCTTCTGGAGCTCCCTTCATCCACCAGGTTGAAAGGTAAGGGTGGATGGTTGCTTGGGGAGCACAGTGGGGTTGGGTGGAAGGGGAAAGGGCTTTCCTCCCTCAGCCTTCCCCTCACTGGCTCTGATTCTTGGTTTCCGATTCCTTCTTGTTCTGGTGTCTTAGGTATCTTCAGGAACTGTTCACAAGAGGAAAAATATCAGCCACTGAGTCAGTGTTTTTCTCAACCTAGAAACATTGCACCACTCCCAAACACACCCACAGGCATGCTTTTGCCAACATGGGCCCCAGACAGTCACCACAAGCCATGGCTAGTGTCATCTGTACATCAAGAAAATTACATCTTGGCACACTGCTACACCCTCCCAGTCATATATAAAATGACAAATGCCACAGTAATGTCAAACATGCCCTGCTGTCACATGTATGAGAGACATACTGTCACAGTTCTCATGTGAAATCGGTGTGAAGGACAGGAGGTACAGGGGTTAGCAGCAATGGATCTGGAGTCAGACAAACCTCTTTGACCTCTCTGGCCTCAATGTAACATGTCCATGAAAAGGAGTTGTGATGATGAAATGAGGGATAATGACGAGGAAGATCTCAGCATAGTGCCTGGCCTGTAAAGCATGCCAAGAATGGTGGCTGTTGCCGTCAACTCCTGTCTCACACATGCTCCCATTTCCTCACGTCTGTGCACGTGTATATGCAAGTACCCGGGAGCACATGTACCTGCAAAAGGCCAGCCAAACACACTTAGGTGCGTGTGCCAAAGCGTGTGTACATTCACAAGCAAGGTCTGGTCTCTTTTCCTGGACCGTTTGTTCCTAAACATCTCCATGGCTCACTTCCTACCACCTTTAAGTCTTCGTTCAATCAAATGTCACCTTTCAATGAGGTACACCCTGACTTCTTTTTCTTTTTCTTCTTTGAGTTGGAGTCTCACTCTGTCACCCAGGCTGGAGTGTCAACCTGCTGGACTCTGGCAATCCTTCCGCCTCAGTCTTCCAAGTAGCCGGAATTACAGGCGCATGCTACCACACCCAGCTAATTTTTGATTTATTGTAGAAACGAGGTCTCGCCAACTTGCCTGGGCTGGTCTTGAATCTGCGGGCTCAGGCAATCCACTCATCTTGGCCTCCCAAAGTGCTGGGATTACAGGCAGAACCACCGCCCAGCTGACTTTTTTTTTTTGAGTTGGAGTCTCACTCTGTCACCAAGACTGGAGTGCAGTGGCCACTCCCAACCACCGCAGCCTCAACCTGCTGGGCTCCGGTGATCCTTCCGCCTCAGCCTTCCAAGTAGCTGGAACTACAGGCGTGCGTTACCATGCCCGGCTCATTTTGATTTTATTGTAGAGATGAGGTTTCACCAAATTGCTCAGGCGGGTCTCGAACCCACGGGCTCAGGCAATCCACTCACCTCAGCCTCCCAAAGGTGCGGGATTACAGGCTGAGCCACCGAGCCTGGCTTGACTTTTTTCAATTTGAAATTATATATTTACATATCACTGACCTTCTAAGGTCATAGTTTAGTTTGTTGTCTGCCAACCCCTTTAAAATGTAATCTTCACAAGGGTAGGGATCTTTGTCTTTTGTTTGTGGATGTATTCCCAACACCCCAAACGGTATCTAGCTTATGGTAGACTGAACACAGTGTATATGTGGGTGGACCATATGAATTTCTGCTTTTTCACCCTTAACACAAGTATATTCAGGTAAGTCCCACCCCCCAGCCCATAAGCTAAGCCTGCTGTGTTTACACTGTGAGCATCCCCTCATGCCAAGGTTCAAATGGTCAACTTGGGAGGTGGGACAAACTTAGTCCTTCCCAGCATCCCAGTTGAGTGGTCCCAACTGGGATGGGGGTGGGAGGCTGTCTTCAGTCACCAAGCAAAGAAAGCCTCTCAGCTTGCCCTTCTAGCTGTTTTGAACTCAGCAGCAGCAGGGCTTGGGCACCCAGCAGGGTCCCACAGAGCAGGTAAGGTGGCTGGACTCACCCTGGTGACCTGGGGCCTCCTCTGCAGCCTTGTTTTTTCCACCCTGGCTGGAACCATCAAAGTCACCACTTCAGAAGCTCCTAATGAGGCTGAATATGTTAAGGGCTTTGCAATTCCTGGATCAAAGAGGCTGAGTAAACAGTGGGCAGCGTCCAGGCCCATGACTGGCTGATGCCCTGAGGGAATAGCTCCCTAGAAGTTGGCAGTTGACACTCCCAGACAGCCTGGCATAGCCCTGACAGGGTTTGGAGATACCCTGTCCTTCTAGAGGATCTGCTTAGAGGAAGCCAGAGCACACCCATCAACACTTGGGGGAGAGGGAGGGAACTGGAGGATTGAGGGAACCTCTCTCAAGTAGAGAGGCCCTACCTAGGCTCAGGCTCTGAGGGACCCTAGAAGTACCCCAGTCTCAGTCACCATTACTGGAGGGGCCTCTAGTCCAGATTCACCCAGTTTGTTCTCCAGCTGCTCCCTGGGAAGACATGGGATGGGCAAAGCTGGGGGTCAAGCATCCCTGAGCACTGAAATGTGAGCCAGGTTCAGAGCTATCATATAGAAATGTTGAAGCCAGGCTCGGTGGCTCAGCCTTTAATCCCAGCACTTTGGGAGGCTGAGGTGAGTGGATTGCCTGAGCCCGCAGGTTCGAGACCCACCTGGACAAGTTGGCGAGACCTCATCTCTACAATAAATCAAAAATTAGCCATGCGTGGTAGCGCGCACCTTTAGTTCCAGCTACTTGGAAGGCTGAGGCGGAAGGATCGCCGGAGCCCAGCAGGTCGAGCCTGTGGTGGCTGGCAGCGGCCGCTGCACTCCAGTCTGGGTGACAGAGTGAGACTCCAACTGAAAAAAAAAAAAAGTTGAAATATTTGTACTTTAACAAGAGTCCTAGACCTGCTGAGGCAACGTGCTTGTGCTGGTCACACATGTAGACATGAGCTTCCAGTATACAGTGTCAGGTTGGGGCTGATATTGAGGGAATGAGGGGCAGTCCCCCAACGACAGCCCAGGCTTCAAACCCAGACCCCCACACATGTCCCCTCCCATAATACAAGCCAGACTCAGACTAGAGGGAGGCAGCTGTAGCCCTTAGTCATGAAAGGTCCTTGTTCTGAGAGAAAGTATGGCGCTAGGTTCAGTGTAGACAATCTTTATTTGCAGGTGTTAAGAGTACAAAATAGCAACAAATCCAGAGGGATGGGAAAGCAGGTGGCAGTGTGGCTCCCCTCCCCCATGTGAGAGCACTGTAGCCAAGCCAGTGGGGCAGGAGCACTTGACTAGACTATGGCAAATTTGGGCCCAACACCCTCAAAGAACAAGCTCGGGGGAGGGGGGAGAGGGGTGCTTCTTACAACACAAGGGGAAGGGAGCAACACACTGGAAGGGGCCTGGACTGCAGCCTGGCCTGGGCTGCTTGACTCCTGTATACTACACACCTTAGCTCCTTGAGAGGAACACTTCACAGCTTGGGGTGTGGGTTTCAGAGAACTGGGTTAAACTCATCCCTCCCCAAACATAGGTAGCTATCTCATGCCTCAGTTTCCCTCCTTCCAGTGATTAGCCAGGTTGGACCACCAGGCCCTCTTAGTGCCCAACTGACCCAAAGTGAGTAGTCCCCATAACATATCATATTTTAGCCAGTGTGTGCATTGCAGTCCCTGGGAGGTTACTGGGATCACCATGGGTGGGCCAAAAGACCCTTTTAGGTCCTGGGAATCAACCCAACTGGGCATTGAGGCTACAAGTCCAAACTTGCTTTATGTCCTGAAGGCAACTGACCCACAAGACAAATATCCTCTGCACCCCACAATCATGCTGGCCCAAAAGCATGGTGCAATAACTAAAGGGTCCTCCTGCTGAGAATCCAGGCTTGGTCTTAAACCCACAGGGCCTCGCTCAGGAAAATCTGGTCTGTTCAATCAAAGGCCCAACGCTGCAACAGTGCTGGGTCACCTGTTTCTGGTCATGTCTTCCACACACTCCTGGAGGCCCCACCCCACCATGTGAGGCCCAATCCCTTCCCTTTTGGCCAGGGTCTGAGTCAGTTACAAGGCAGCCAGGTGGGATAGGAGTGGGCCCGAGCCAGCAGAGGTTGCACGGGGGTCACATAGTAATTGACAGTGGTTGGCACAAGTCCATCAGGGCCTGGCGGGCACCAGGCCAGGGCGGCAGTGGCAGCAGGGCCCTGCTCAGCCAGTGCCTGGAGCGCCAGCGCAGCAATGAGGTCTAAGGTCTGGCGGCGTTCGTGGTTCATGAGGCACACGGTGCTCTCGTTGACCACCTGATGCAGCGTCACCAGGCAGGCATAACGGCGAGCTGCGTCAGCCCCACCGAAATGGGCTTCCAGGTAGCGCTCCAGGGTGCGCTGCTGCTCCACTAGGTCCGGAAAGTCGATGAAGAAGCGAGAGCACATGTAGCGTTGCAGGGCATGCGCATCAGTGCTGGGCCGTGGCCGGAAGCCCCGCACCAGAAGGTGGCAGTACTTGAGGAGGCCACCACCGCGGATCTCCTCAGGGCTGCGAGTGGCGATGACACGGTGCCGCAGGTGCTCCAGAGCCTCAGCGAAGTCCCCATACAGGCTCTCACCTGTCACTGTTGGGTGGAAGGCCTTAGACATGGGTGTGGATGAGCACTGGCCAAAAAGCAGCAGCGAGTCCAGAATGATCTGGAAGGAGTCTATGCTGAACTCGAACTGACGTCTCACTGAGTCCACAAACTTGAGCTCTACATTCTTGCCACTTTTGTTGGACAGTGAGATGAGGCTCCAGCGATCTGTGTCCGTGCACACTTTCACCAGCTTCTGCACATACGCCTCCTTGAGTGTTAGTGGTGTGATCTTGGCCCGGCTCACACCAACTGGCAGGAAGTCTAGCAGGCAGGCCAGCACCACCGCTTTGGTCAGTTGGAAAGATGCCTCACTGTGCAGATCTACCTGGAATACCAGGTCCAGGTCCTTGTAGCCCAGGCCACTCTCAGGGTGCAACACATGGCTGGCGGCTGAGCCATGTAGCCGCACACTGTGCACATGTAGTCCCTGCTCCTCCAGGCTACTGCGGACCACCTGTGGAGGGGAGAGAAGAAGGGAGAGGTGTCAGGAGCCTGAGTCCCTGTGGTCCACACTAAGGGCTTCCATGTAGTCATCACGGTATCATCAACCACTGTTGGCCACTAACCAGCTGCTGTGCCTTTGGAAAGGTATTTAACTCTCTAAGCTTCAGTTTTCTAATCTAAAGAATGGCCCATTTGGAAGAATGACTCAGAAAGAACATCAGTAATAGCAAACACATGCATAGAATTTACTAAACACCAGGTCCTTAACTAAGCACTTTATATATTAAGATATAACCTCATTTGATCCTCACAATAACCCTTTGAGATAGGTACTATTACTCCCACTTTGCAGATGGGGAAATGGAAGTACAGAGAGGCCAAAAGCCCAGAGGTACACAGCCTGTGAAGAAAGAGCTGAGAATTAAACTCAGAATCCATGTCTTAACTACTATGCTATTCTATCTCTCTAAAACTGCTAGTAAAACAGTTTTGTGCCAGACACTATGTTAACTGCTCAAATGTGTTGGAATATGGGTTAGCAGTTCACATTCATTACCACATTAGCCCTCACAATAATCCTGTGTTTGAATATTATTATCCTAATTGGCAGATAGGGGAACTGGGGCACAGAGAGGTTAAGCAATATGTCCAAGGTAATTTTCAGAGTGGCCAGGTTGAGACTAGAACCTGGAGTTGGAGTTTCAAGTCCATGCATGTCCTTTTGATGATCATGCATTCATCCTAATTCTTCCTTACAGCGAACTAGTGAGGCAATTATAATTCTCATTTTGCAGATAAGGAAACTGAGGCTTACAGGGGTGAAAGAAGAAGAGAAGCCATTCAGAAGTGGCAGGGTTGGAAGTTACAACCCAAACCCTTGGCACTGCTGGAAGAGGGGGTGGGTCAGGGTCTCAGAAAGCTTTCCAAGCCAAGTGGGAAAAGATGAAAGACCCTGTCTGAGGGCTGAGACTTGGTCTCTGCCCTCAGGCAGACCCTGGGCCTGATGGCCCAGGAACATGACAGGTAAACCTACAAGTCATGTTGAGCCTGTTTCTTTAGCTAGAGGCATCTCCTTGGGCCAAGGTACCAGGTAGGAAGAAGAACGAAGCTAGGGGTCAAGTAGATTCAGTCTTCTCAGCAACCCAAAGTTGTCCTGAAAGTGACCAGGCAGCATTCCTGCCCCGAGTGATTCTGCAAGCCTGCCTCACTGCCAACTCAGCACCCAGCTCTAGGACTGGCTGTACTCCTTCCAGGGAATTACTGCAAAGAATGCATCTAAGTGCTGAGGAGGCAAGCCATGGTGGGGCAATCTGAGGTAGGTGGTTCCCTCCAGAAAGACTTCCGGGAGGAGGGCCTTTACCAGGGAAAGATGTTGCCTCACCAATGGGAGATAAGCAAATGATCATAAGGAACATGGAGGGCATAGGGTGCAGTGGTGTAGAGGAGTTTAGATACCTGTGAATGCCAGGCACTGGACCTTCTCACTAGAACTGACAGAGGACAGATCCTTATGATCTCCATGCTATAGATGGGGAAAGAGGCTCATAGGAGTGAGTTACCTGCTCAGGATCATACAGAGGTGCCTTCAAACCCAGGTATGTCTGAATCCTAACCCTATCCTCTTTCTATCACATTACAGTCCCATGGTTCAGAAGGAGCAGAGATTAGTGTTCTATTCTCCTTCCTTTTCAAAATTTCAAAGTGAGGGCCTCAATTCATTGAAGCCTAGAGCTGGAGTAGTTAGGGAGCAGGAAAGTGGGGGTTGGGGGAATGCCTTGGCCAGACAGACTGGGCCAGTTGCTTTGGGACTTCTAATCCATACCCTGTCAGTTGGCAGCTGGGCCCACATAGGCCAAAGACCTTGGTCCAAGGACCCTGCCAGAACTGTAGCACAGACCAGCCTCCTCTCCAAGTCTTATTAGAGCTGACTGAGCCTTACTCAGTGCCAGCTCCTACTCCCAGGCTGGTGCCCACCCCAGGGCATGTCATCTGGCATGGTGAATTGGTAGGTAGCAGTACTCTTGTTAAATCTCCTGCGTCAGGGCCATGGGGCCAGCTGTGTCAGCCAGCCAGCTGCTATTGTCTCTTTCCCAGGTATGACTACAGCCAGTTTGGCAGGCAGTCCCCAGATACTACCACACCCAAGGACTGCAGGGCAGCTTGGAGCCTCCTGAATCAGACTCCCCAGCCATGGTGGGGGCAGTGATTGCACTTTCCTTTCTCCTGTACCAAGGCCCTTCCCAGAACCACTCTGCTCCAGGCTGCTGCTGAGACCTGCAGCGAGGCAGATAGGTGCTATCAACCAGTAGGCTTACAAAACTCATATCTAGCACTGCCTAATCTGTCCCTCTGGCTGCAACTGGAGAGATCAGATGGTCTAATTCTGTCCTCTTGGCCCACATAGGGCAAAGGACTTGTCCAAGGTCATAGAGCCAATAAGTTGCTGAGCTTAATTAGAACCAGGCTCCCCAGAACTGTAGGCAGGGGGGTCTCCCACAGGAGGATAGGTTCCTTTATCCTAGGTACAAGAAAGGGTATCTCTAGCTACTCAGACTGCCACTGTAGGTAAAGCTTTGTTGAGATGGAAAGGAGAAAGGTTCTAATTTTTTTTTTTTTTTTTTTAGTCTCACTTTTGTCACCCAGGCTGGAGTGCAGTGGCACACTCACGGCCATGGCAGCCTCGACCTGCTGGGTTTAAGCAATCTTTCTGCCTCAGCCTTCCAAGTAGTTGGAACTACAGGTGCACACCACCATGTTTTTGTGATTTACCATAGAGACGAGGTCTCACCAAGTTGCCCAGGCTGGTCTTGAACCCTCAGACTAGGACAATCCTCTCGCCTCGGCCTCCCCAAGTGCTAGGATTACAGGCTGAGCCACTGTGCCCAGCCAGGTTCTAATTCTTGAGCCATAGGACTACTCAACATTGGTGAAAAACCCAGAGAAAACAACCAGTCCCTCCCCCTGCCCTTCACTCCTGCACATATCCCAACAACTATTGAAGCTGCCAGTGGTGGATTCCCTCCAAGAGACTTTCTTCCTGTGGAGGCAGCTGTATAGGCCAGGTGAAAGCACCTGTTTCCTTTGGATTTTGGAGCCAAAAAGGGTGTCAGAGAGTAGTCCAATCCATCCCAATTGAACATATGGAGATACTGAGACCAGCAAAGGAAATCGACTAGTCTATACCCCGAACCTGGACTTCCTGGTCCAGCTCTGAAGTCTCCGCAACCCCTCCCCACCATAGCCTACAGCTCCCTGTCTGTGATATCTACATTGTTAAGTCAGCTCCTATTGACCTGCAGTCTCTACCACTGGGCCAGGAACATCTGAAGGCAAGAAAGCCAGATCCTCATCACATCAGGAGGCCCTTAGTGTCCTGAACAGGGCTTGGCACAGTGCAGGCATCAGTAAAGGGAGTTTGGATCATACTGACAGGAACAAGGACCTCCCCTCCAGGTCCTATTGTCCCTGCAGAGGGGGGACTGCCATGCTGGGCTCCATATTCCCTTCCTCCCATGCCTGGGGCCATAGTCCTGGAAGTGCTATAGCTGGGGCCCCAGGGTTAACCTGACTGTCCTGGGGAGAAAAGCCTCGACTGGTTTCCTAATCACTCAGAAGACAGCTAGCAGCCCAGGAATGCCTCAGAGAGCACCACTGGGGCTGCCGGTGAGTCAGCCCAAGAGAATCTGCCCCCACCTCCTCCCATTCCTTGTTCCTTGGGAGGGAGGGGAGGTAATCAACCAGCAGGCACCCCTCCCCCTCTGTTGGAAGCTAAGGTAGCAGGAGGCAGGGGAAAGGCCTGCTTCACTTAGCTTGTATGGCCGCCTCCCCAGGAAGAAAGTCCATCATCTGGCAGCTGATACACAAGAATCATCACTGGATTTACTGGTTTCTTTAATCAGGGGACTGCCCTAAGACCTAGAAATTGAGCTTGGGAGCCGGGGAGGGATGGGAAAATCTTGAACTTGCATAACCTGCTTCTGGGGAGACCTAAGATTCCTGGGTTTTGTTTTCACCTCATTAGGTAATCTTAGGTAGCTCACTGTGCCTCTTGAGGCCTTAGCTCCCTCAGCTATGAAATGGGCACAATAATTACTATGCTTTGGTATTTCAGAATATGACAGCACCTGGGATATACAGATGAAAGAGCACCTTGGAGTTGTTGGGGGTAAAGTGAAGAGAAGAGTTGGAGTCTGGATGAGGAAAGCATGCTAGAATTCTCTTCTCTTGTTCTTTAGGAGAGAGATGGGACTTGGGGCCTGAGACCTAGGTTGGCCTTCATTTTCAATCTTGGGAAGGGGGAGAAACACCTAAACTGGACACTTAATGTTGCCCTCAGGGGTGGGGTATCAGGTCTGGCCTAGTGCTTAATGAATCTCCTCCTGTCACATCCCCAGCTGAGAGGAAGGGAGTCCAGATGGGATTTCTAGGCTTCTTCACAGGAGTGGGGTGGAGGGGAGGGGTGTGGAAGCACAAGGACAGAGTCTGCTTTTTACACCCTGAGAGAGGGAAGGTGGGGTGAGGTCCAGGGAAGCAGACTTAGGGAGGAAAAGCTATTTTGGATGCAAGCAGGCACACCTATCCACCTGGGGCTTCCTGGCGTCTTTTGTTCTTGCAGGCAGGGCTGTTATTTCCCTGACACCCTGTTCATTGTCCTCCCTCTCCCAGCAGTGCCTGGGTCCTGAATCAGGGCTCCCCAAGAGTGGGGACGAAAGAGCCAAGTGGGGAAGGATTGTTAGATGCAGGGGGAAGATATCTGGTTTACCATTAATACCCTGCGCAATTGTTACAGCCCCTGTCCCCATTTCTCTGTTTCCCTAGGTGTCCAGAGAATCGAACAGACTCCGGGTGCTTTCCATTCACGAGAGCATCAGGATAGATCCCCCTCCCCCCACATCCCCCGCCGAGCGCCCTCTCACCTGCACGATCTGCCGGGGCTGCACGCTCAGCGTTGGGAAGTTTCCGCGCCCGTGAATGGGAATCGGCTCGCTCAGGAGCGAGTCCAGCCGCTTCACCTGTGGCCAGCCCAGACCGCTCAGGTGACGTTCGGCGGAGGCCGATGAGGCCTTGGGGTCGGGGCCGCCGCCTGCCGGGGCAGCCGGGGCTGCTTCTGCCCCTCCCTGCGCAGCCTCCTGGTCCCGGCGATCAGCTCCGCTCTCCGACGGCATCATTGGCCCGGCCCCAGCGACCCGACGGCAGAAACCGAGGGGTGGCTAAGGGGAGTAGGGCAGGGAGAGCGGCTGCGAGGGGCCGAGGTGGGAGGCACGGAAGCAGGGATGGGGCGACAGCAACGGCGAGCAAACCCAGGGCACACCTCGGCTGGCGACGGCTGACCGACCCTAGAGCCGGTAGCCCCGGGCCCAGCTGACTCTTATAGGCCGCGGGCGACATGCCTATTGGTTCGGGCAGCGGCCGCACAGCGGGAGCCGCCCCGCCCCTCGACTCCCAGTCATTGGTCCGCAGAGTTCTGCACGGGAGTCGCTGCTCTTCAGAGAGATTCCAATTGGCTGGGAGTCACACCCCTGCCCCGCCCTCCTTCTCAGACTGACTTCCCTCCTTCGGTCCTCAAAGAACTTCTGTTCACTGTGATTGGCCCGGGCGGACCTGGACTTAAAGGGACAGCGCCCTCCAGGGGCAGGCGGGAGGTGATTTGTGGAATGTGTAGTGAAGTCAGACCAATGAGAAGTTCTAGATATATATTTTTTAATTGCACTGGAAGAAACTGGGAAATCGCCTGGTCTAGTCTTGGTCATCCGTTATTTTCAGAAACCCAAAGAGATTGCTCCACGTGCTCAACTTCGAACAGCACTCATCATGCTCTGACAGTTTTCCAGAGTCTAGGAAAAAGGTAATAAACTGTGTATACTGAGGTAGATGCTTTTTAACATACTCTCTTGATTCGCTTTTGCGACCCACAGCTTAGCCGACGTTGATATACCAGTTTAGGGAAGGGGAAATCGGCTCAGAGAGGGGGTGTGAGTCCCCTAATGTCACACAGTGAACTAGTCCAGCCTGGTCCTGACTAGGGCTATAAAATCTGTGGTGCATGCTTTTTTCATCTACGCAGACCCAGTACCTTTCCCGGGGTAGAGGATGGATAATATGTTTACATATTTTTCTCTCACACTTTTCAGGGCCTAGAGGATGAGGCTTATTATTGTTACTTTTAAATTCATCTTTGTTTTCCTGATTTTAAATATATGTGCAGAAATCAAGTATATCTGATTCACCACTGCCATGGTTTCTCTTAAATATCGTTCTTCTAATAATATAACAAAAACAAAAAACAAAATTTTTTTGAATTGGGTTCTCACTCTGTCTCCCAGGCTGACTGCAGTTGCACCAACTGGCTCACTGCAGCTTTGACCTTCTGAGCTTATGTGACCCTTTTGCCTCATCTTCCCTGGTAGCTGGGTCCACTGGCATGTGTCATCATGCCTGGCTATTTTTATTTTTTTGTAGATACAAGGTCCTGCTATGTTGCCCAGGCTGGTCTTGAACTCCTGTGGTCAAGCAATCCACCTGCCTTGGTCACCGAAAGTGCTGGGATTATAGGTATGAGCCACTACACCTGGTTCAATATATCAAATTGAATTCATTCTTCCATTCTCCTGTTAGGTAGTCTGGGAAGGAATAAGATGTCCACTTTACGGTAGGAGAAATCAAGACCTAGAAATGATAAATTACACCTCAAGGCCACCAGCTTGACTCTGACAGAACTGGGACTATAACCCAGGAGCTTGGCTCTCAGACCAGAGAAGCCAATTTCTCTTTTTGAAGGCCAGCTCAAGCAAGATGCTGTCCCTCTCCTCTTTCTTCATCTTGTCTGGGATGAGGGGCCTCCTCTGACCCTCAGGAAGGAAACTTGATGATTTTGCTCTGCTGCTTGGCCATGTGACTTTGGGCAAGTTGTCTCCACTGTCCTCAGTGCAGTTGCTTGTTTTGTTTTACCTTCTCTTGAAAGATAGGAAATACATAGAAATCATCTTTGGCTGAGTCCAGAGTCTCCAAACCCTTGAACTACTAAGTCTCCTTGAGGATGCTGATGAAAGAACTTGAGACTCAACCATAGCACTGTCTCTTACCCCCACACCCATGCTCCAGGAGAGGAAGAAATTTTAAAAAAAGGAAACTAACATTTGCGGAACATATGATATACCAAATCATTTTACATACATGGCCTCTAATTACTAAAGATATACCTAAAGATGTGGGATCATTATCCCTGATTTACAGATGAAGAAACTGAGTCTTAGAGAGGTCAAGTGATATGTCCACGGTCATACAACCACTAATTGGCAGTATGAGACTCAAATCCAGGTCTCCTGACTTCAAAGCCCTATTTTTCAACCATTCCTCTTAGAAGAGTTGGCATAGATCATAGTCATGCTTGGCATAGCCTTGGTACCACCCATAAGATCCATCCATCCATTTATTCATCTGCCAGCATGTATACAGAAAACACCTACTGTGTACCAAGTGCTGGGCTAGGCCTTGAAAATGATATGTAGCCGGGTTCGATGGCTCAGCCTGTAATCCCGCACTTTGGGAGGCTGAGGTGAGTGGATTGACTGAGCCCATGGGTTTGCGACCTGCCTGGGTAACTTGGGGAGACCTCATCTCTACAATAAATCAAAAAATTAGCCGGGCGTGGTAGTGCGTGCCTGTAGTTCCAGCTACTTGGAAGTCTGAGGCGGAAGGATCACTGGAGCCCAGCAGGTTGAGGCTGCGGTGGCCGGGCGTGGCCACTGCACTCCAGTCTGGGCGACAGAGTGAGACTCCAACTCAAAAAAAAAAAAAAAAGAAAAGAAAAGAAAAATGATATGTGAGTCCTTGCCCTTCTAGAACTTTCTAATGTAGAAAGACAATAGTTAAACAAATAAGACATTTTTGATAGTTCAAAGAAGAAAATAAAACAGGTTAATGAGAGAACAACCGTGTGTGTACACACGCACATGCGTGTACAAAAAGCATGTGAAAGAGAGAGAAAGAGAACTAGGGGTATTGATGTACATTGTTAGATGGTGTGATCATGGAAGTCTTCTGTAATAAGGTGACATTTCTGTCCGATCTACTGGATCCACTTCTGCCCCATTTCCTCATGCTTGTCCCTGGACAGTCAAGGTAACAGAGTATGTTTCAGGTCACATATTTCTAGAACCCTGAAGGCCAGAACTTGGAGGTCCTTTGACAATCATTTTGTTCACCCTCTTCTCACTTTATAGATGTGGAAACTGGGGTACAGAAAGCAGGAAGGTTTTACCCCAGGGAGATTAGCTAGGCTGGAAACCATGCAGGGGGGTAGCTGGTAATGTGCCCATGCTACACACTTGAGTTGAGTTTTCTTTTTTTTCTTTTTTTCGTTCCCTTTGCTTCCTTCCCTCCCTCCCCTGGCAGTGCTCAGTAACTGCCAATCTTGAGTCAAGATTTCTAAGGAAGGAAACTCTTGAGATCCTTTTCCTCTCTCCTTCCTTCCATCTGGGCTACAAAAAGCAATTAGAAAATTCATGCATTGTGAATCATCCTTCTGATGACACTTCTATTCTCAAGGCTGATTGTTTCAATGTTTGTCTAATCACAGGACCTGACTGTCACTGTGATGGGGTGGGGGTGACTTGGAAATGTAGGAAGCTAAGAAAAAGCAGGGGTATATCTATAATGGTAGGGTCTTTTGTTTTCACCAAGACCAGCTTTTACTTGTTCCTGTGAATGGAGCGGAATGTCAGCTGGGATACATCCTGAATAGTCCATTTGGCTTTCAGATGTTATGTATGAGCTTCTTCCCTCCCCCCATATGGATTTCCCATCTTAATTATTACTCCAACTGATTTTTTTTTTTTGTAGAGGTGGAAGTCCTTAGGCTGGTCTTAAACTCCTGGCCTCAAGGAATCCTCCTATCTTGGCCTCTTAAAACACTGGGGCTACAAGCATGTGCCACCCCATGTGCCTATAGACATCCAGCCCCCAACTGATTTTAAAAGGGTCATCCTATCTATGATAATTGAGTCTCAGTGATATAATCACTTTCCCTACCTGGACCTCAGTTTCCTATTCTGTAAAATGAGAGTGAAATAGGAGTCAGTCTCTTCCACTCACACCTATGATTTGAGGTAATAGGAAAGGAGAAGAGAACCTGGGGAGAATCTTGGTCCCTACAATGGCCCCTCCTCCACTTTGGGACTCCAGACAAGAGCATTCTGGTAACTGCCATCTAGCTATATTATCACCCAAGTTACTGAATATCCTCTATGCCTGGAACTGTGATAGGCGTTTCTACGCCGTCTCATTCAATTTTCAGAACATAATCTTATGACAAAGGATCGTACTCTTACTTTGCAGTAGCACAAACTGAGGCTCAGAGAAGCCAAGTAATTTGTTCAGGGCCTCACAGTTGGAAAGAGGGACTTCATACACAGGCCTGGCTGAATCCCAGGCCCATGCCCTATCCAGGGCCCTGCCTCTGAGGATGACCTAATGAGTTCAGTTACACACAGATAATCCTTCTCCAGAAGGATCATTCATCCCCTCCTCCTGTGATTCTTGTTCTCCATACTCCTTCAGGTTCTCATGGCCAAGGTAATGGACCTTGTCATTACCAATAATTGTACCCCTACCCCACATAATTTCAACCAAGTATTCTATCCTCCTAACACCACCTCCTGTCTTTCCTGTTCACTCCTTGTAGAACCCCAACCCCAACTCCAAGATCCACCAGGACCTTCAATCCATTGATCCTTCCATTTTTTGGGTCACTATTCTTTGTCTACCTCATGTCCTGACTTTCCTCCTTAACCAGCTTAGATTCCATGGACCATGGCTATAATCACTTCCTTGCAAACACTCTCATTAAATTGCATTTACCTGGCAAGACCACACCCTGGTTGATCCCACACAGCTGACTGAGGCTAGAGACAGACACAGCCCTGTTGACTGGTCTCCCTTGAACGTAATGCCCACCGTCCTCCCGGGGCTCTTAGCACCAGCTGTCTGGAAATCCTATCATGTGACCGAGAATTTTCAGGACAAGGTCATATCTTCTCTCTCCTCAGTCCCCAACAACTCCTTCCTCCTCTGCTTCCCACTTCACTAAGAAAACAGGAGCAGCCGAACTCGGTGGCTCAGCCTGTAATCTCGCACTTTGGGAGGCCGAGGTGAGTGGATTGCCTGAGCCTGTGGGTTCGAGACCCGCCTGAACAAGTTGGTGAGACCTCATCTCTACAATAAATCAAAAAATTAGCCGGGCGTGGTAATTCTGGCTACTTGGAAGGCTGAGGCGGAAGGATGGCCGGAGACCAGCATGTCGAGACTGCAGTGGCCGGGAGCGGCCACTGAAATCCAGT